TGGTGGACAGAGGCAGGGCCTTCCTGGGCCTCCAGGACTTGGACTACGGCGGAGGTGTCGCGGGGTGGGGAGGCCCTGCGAAGGGGTCCTGAGGCAGCTCCCCCAGGAACGAGCGGCCACACAGCTTTGCTGCAGACGCGGGACAAGGGACCAGCCGGCCTACAAGTCTCCAACCTGTGACTGTCACCGCGGATGGGACAGCAGAACCGCCCCACAGAGTGCAGGCCGAGCACAGAAGCCACGAGGGAGGGGAGACTCGCGGGGACACAGCAGACATGAAACAGAAAAGGAAGGACCTGCAGAAAATGCCAGAGAGAAATCAACAGGCAGGGAGGCGGCGGCGGCAGAAGCCCAGCCCCCAGCTCGCCGGAGCCCCAGCACAAGAGCACCAGGCGTCTAGCTGCCCTTCAAGGCAACGTCTAGAAGTAACATGTGCTGGTACCAACCAGCACGCCGAGAGGCCCCGAGCATCAGGAAAACTGACCCACCAGCCAGCACAGCCGAGCAAACCGCTCCCCTAAGACCAAGGCGCACGGCGCACGGCCCAGCGAATGTCGGCCTCGGCCGAGCGTCCTTCCTGAGAGGCCACCGGCTGCCCTGCACACGTGAGGCCTCGGGCTCCACTCCTGCAAGTGGTGTGTGGACAACAGGGAAGCAGGCAGACGGCTCTGCAAGAAACTGGACGCGCTCACAGCAGACAGACCAGGCAGGTCACGGGAGGCCGGCGGAGCAGCGCGGACGTGGTGTGTGCACACAGGCCGACCGCCCCGTCTGACCGCTGCAGGGATGGAGGGAGGGCCACCCAGCAGGGCACTCGGGACACCACTAGGGCAACGACAGAGAAAGTGCAGAAAATCAAGAGCACAAAAGAAAACCGCGGCGAGGAGCCCAAAACCTGTCTCTGAGCAGCTGCGTCTGGCTGGGGAGACGACCCCTCAGGTCGGAGCCAAATCCACCCTGATCGGCATCTGTCCTGTCACGTCTGCCTCACGAGTGACCGGCTCCCCCGGGACGGAGGCCCACTCCTGGCGATGGGAGATCTGACTTCTTGGGAGCACTGCGTCTGGGAGGCTGTTTGTGGTTCCCACCTTCCACTTCACTGCATTACAGAATGTTAAAGCGAAGATTTTTCCTTAAGGCTCTATTTCCTTATTTAAAGAACAAGCAAACGTGCATATTTACTTTCTGGGGGTCTCTGATCCACGTCTGCTTCATGATCAGATGTGCTTAAATAGTCCAAGGTGTAGAGATACAAATGCTCTCCAGCTCCAGTGAGTGAACTTGAAATGCCGCCTCTGCTAAGTGAAGTATTTCCAAGTAACTTTAACATCGATCATTACTAAATTTAAAGTGAGTGCGTCCGAGGGCCCGCAGGCCCCCACCTGAGCCGGCGCAGCCCCTGGGCTGCTCTGTACTGAACACAGGGAAACAGGAGGTCCCCACTCAGAAAGCAGTATCGCCCCCTCAACCAACCGCGCAAGGAAGGGATCTAGGTCCCAGTCAGTCGTACAGGGTGACCACGTGTGGAGGGACACAAGTCATACAGAGTGACCACATGGAGGGGGACACTCACGGTCGTACAGGGTGACCACGTGGAGGGGACACTCACGGTTGTACAGAGTGACCACGTGCAGGCAGTTCAGCAGCTGCCGCTTGTACTCGTGGATCCTCTTGACGTGCACGTCGAACATGGAGGAGGGGCTGACCTTCACCTTGTACTCCTGCTCTAGGAAGGCAGCGAACTTCGCCTTGTTCTCCTGGGAAAGCGGAGGGAAGGGTGGTGGGACAGTTCCTGGGGCCGAGCCCCCTGAGGGACATGGGGAAGCGTAGTTCCGAAAGTGGACCTGCCCAAACGCCAGACAAACAGGAAGGCAGACCTGGGAGGTGCTGAGGGTCAGACCAGCAGAGAATGGAGGCGGGCCGATGGGGGAAGAGGCCACACGAAGGGCCACTTCCGGCCCCAAGGCCAGGCCGCGTGCTCCGCAGGGGAGGCCGCCCCCTACAGCATCCACGTGCGGAAACAGGACCAGCGTGGACCCCGTGTGCTCCCCCGGACGAGCTCTGCACAGGGGCCAGCAGCCCCTCTGGGAGATGACGGGGTGGCCCCGGCCGGGCCACACTGCCCACCTGCTTGACCTGGGCCACGTCCCTGATGAGGGCCTCATCGCCCGCCAGCGGCAGCAGCTTCCTCAGCTGGCTCAGGTCGGTCAGGAAACCCTCCCCGATCCTCTGCAGAACAGTAAAGGGACATGTGGTTTCACACCTCCTTCACCCTCAGCTCTGCCCTCCTTCCCCGGTCCCCCAGGGAGCACTGCGCAGCGAGGCCGGTCAAGTCTCGACGGTGGACGCGTCCACTGCAAACGCAGGAGACTGCCGTCTCAAAGCACCCCCAGGCTTGCACCCACCCCAGCCGACTGGACGGGGCCTTTCAGCTACCCCCGTACCCCAGCCGGGCCTGGGCACCCCTTCACACCAGTGGGAGCTGCTTCCAGACCAGCGTCCCACGGCACGCCCCACCCAACCTCCCTGTTGCTCATTTACGACCCAGAGGAAAACTCCTGGCCTCCCGACACCGGGCCGTCTCCGCAGCCTGGCCCGGCACCGAGGCCGCGCTGGCCAGTCCCGGGCGGGCCGTGTCCCCCGCACAGGGCCCTGGAGCAGAGACTCGCTGCCCCTGCAGCGCTGCT